AACGTTTCAGATTGGCCCCTATAAGTTCTGAAATTACAGTTTAGCCCCTATAGTTCTGAAAAGTTACAAATTAGCACATAACTTTTCAAGAAAATATATTTTGAGCCCGAAAAATTCTACCCCACCATTTTTGACGCTTCCGAATCCAACCGAGAGCTCAGTTTTATCTAATATTTCCTCGAAATATTTGTAAAATAAATTTGCAATTATTTTCGATGGAATCTACAAGTACGATTACGATGGTTCGACTTACGCCAACAAATTACAACATGTGGAAGCCAAGGATGGAAGATTTGCTTAATCTGAAAGATTTAGCAGAGCCTATAGAAAATCAAGGCGTCAAACCTGACACGAAGACAGACGAAGTTTGGACGAGAATAAACAGGAAAACGGTGGCACAAATTCGACAGTGGATCGACCACAGTGTTTTTCATCATGTCTCTCAACAGACAGACGCATACAAACTTTGGGAGAAGCTCGAGAATATGTATCAGGCAAAGACGGCATGCAACAAGACCTTGCTGATGAGGCGCCTTGTAAAGCACAAGTTACGAAGTGGTATGTCCATAACCGAGCATACGAGTCAGTTCCAGGATCTCGTAAACCAACTCGGTGCTGCTGATTGGGTTCTCAAAGACGAGGAACAAGCCATATTGCTCTTGATTTCTCTACCAGATAATTGGGAGACGCTTATTGTGACTCTCAGCAATTCTGCCCCCGGTGGTAAAGTGTCAATGGAGATGGTCACAGACGCCCTAATGAACGAGGAAGCCAGAAGGAAAGAAGCTGGTACAGACCAGTCTTTTACCCTCGTGTCAGAAACTAAAGAAAGAGGCGGAGGAAGAACTGGAGGTAGATGTCGAGGTAGAGGTAGAGGCAGACATAGTCAAAGTAGAGGAAGATCCCAAGATCGTGGGAAATCACGAGATCGAGGGAAATCGCGAGAGCGAGGTAAATCTTCAAATACATGGTTCGAAGGCTATTGCAATCATTGTAATTATTATGGCCATAAAAGGAGTGATTGTCGAAGGTTCTTACGAGAGCAGCCCGAGACAAGTCAGAATCCAAGTAGGGAGAATGGTGAAACCATGGTCACCCTAATACAAGACGTTGCCCTTGTTACATACGAGGAGGAAGCATGCCTACATGTTGGAACCCATGATGATGAGTGGGTGATTGATAGCGCTGCGTCATATCATTCGACTCCAAACCGGGATTTATTCATTACTTATAAACCCGAAGACCATGGTACCGTAAAGATGGGAAACACCAGTTTCTCAAGCATTGCTGGTATTGGTGATGTGCATTTAAAGACCAATGTTGGATGTACATTGGTGTTGAAAGATGTTCGGCATGTCCCAGAGCTAAGAATGAATCTTATCTCAGTTGGAGCTCTTGACGTCCAAGGATATGATAATCAATTCAAAAATGGTACTTGGAAGTTGTTAAAAGGTGTTATGGTTGTTGCAAGGGGAAAACTTGATGGTACTCTTTATAAAAGCTATGCAAAGCTACTTCAGCCAAGTCTCAATGTTGTTGAAGAAGAGACATCACCAAACTTGTGGCATAGAAGACTAGGCCACATGAGCGAGAAGGGATTGACGACTCTTGCAAAGAAGGAGTCCATTTCAATGGCAAAAGATGTTGCCTTGGATCCTTGTGAATACTGCCTATTCGGGAAACAACACACAGTTTCCTTTAGCTCCACAAGAAAGAACCGCTCTGAGTTGCTGAGCCTTGTCCACTCCGACGTATGTGGACCCATTGAAGTAGAATCTCTTGGTGGGAACCGATATTTTGTGACATTCATTGACGATGCATCACGAAAGGTATGGGCATACTGTTTGAGAACGAAGGACCAAGTATTGGACAACTTCAAAGCTTTTCATGCAATGATGGAAATACAAACAGGCAAGCAGTTAAAATGTCTCCGATCAGATAATGGAGGCGAGTATTATTCCCGTGAGTTCTCTAAATACTGCACGGAACATGGTATCAGACATGAAAAGACTGTCCCACGAACCCCACAACACAATGGTGTAGCAGAACGGATGAATCGCACTATTGTTGAGAAAGTTCGATGCATGCTCAGCATGACTAAACTCCCAAAACCATTTTGGGGTGAAGCTGTATTGACAGCTTGCTATCTAATAAATAGGTCACCTTCCGTTCCACTGAATTTTGAAGTTCCCGAGAAGATATGGACGGGTAAAGACATATCATATTCTTACTTGAGAGTATTTGGGTGCAAGGCGTTTGCACATGTATCAAGTGAATTGCGGAAGAAGTTGGACCTCAAATCCACTCCATGCATCTTTATTGGATATGGAGATGAAGAGTTCGGGTACAGGCTATGGGACCCAGAACTAAAGAAGGTTATTCGAAGTAGAGATGTGGTTTTCTATGAAAACCAGTATTATGATTTCAAGGCACCGGTTAACAAGCAACAAAGCTCCAAAGTTTCAGATATAATATCTGAAAATAAAGATGATGTTTCTACTGAAGAAGAGGATGAAGAAGTTGATGATGCAAATCAAGAAGGTGTTGAGCAGGGGGAGCTTCCACCCCATGATACTTTAGATACATTTCCAGAAGTTACAAACGAAGGAACTCAAGTTAGACGATCCGAACGAGTTCGTGCTCCATCAAGAAGATATACGACTTCAAACTACATCCTTCTTACTAGTGAGGGGGAGCCAGAGAGCTTTCAAGAAGCTCAATCTCATATTAACAAAGCAAATTGGCAGAAGGCCATGGAAGAAGAAATGAATTCTTTGCAGAAGAATCAAACATATGAGTTGGTGAAACTCCCCAAAGGAAAGAAAGCCTTGAAAAACAAGTGGGTTTTCAAGTTGAAGAAAGACGGAAAGGGAAATACTATGAAGTATAAGGCGAGACTCGTTGTCAAAGGTTTCCAACAAAAAGAAGGAATCGACTTTGATGAAATTTTTTCGCCGGTTGTGAAGATGATGTCTATTCGAGTTGTACTCGGATTAGTTGCCAGTCTAGATCTTGAACTTGAGCAGATGGATGTGAAAACAACCTTTCTCCATGGTGATTTGGATGAAGAAATATACATGGAGCAGCCTGATGGCTTTAAAGTCCCAAAGAAAGAGCATCTCGTCTGTAAATTAAAGAAGAATCTTTATGGTCTTAAGCAAGCCCCAAGGCAGTGGTACAAGAAGTTTGATTCATTTATGATGAATCATGAGTACAAGAGAACTGTTGCAGACCATTGTGTATATCTGAAGAAGTTTCCAGATGGGAAATTTGTCATCCTTTTGCTCTACGTGGATGATATGTTGATAGTAGGCCAAGATGCAACGATGATCAACAACTTGAAGAAGGATTTGTCTAAGTTCTTTGATATGAAAGACTTAGGCCAAGCACAACAGATATTGGGGATGAAAATTATCTGTGATAGAAAAATCAAGAAAATTGTTCTTATCACAGGAAGAGTATGTTGAACGTGTGATCAAAAGGTTCAACATGGAAAATGCCAAGCCCGTTAGTACGCCCTTGGCTAACCACTTCAAGTTGAGTAAGAAAAATTGTCCATCTTCTGAGAAAGAAAAAGAAGAGATGAAGGCAGTCCCCTATTCCTCAGCCGTAGGAAGTCTTATGTATGAAATGGTGTGTACAAGACCAGATATTGCTCATGTTGTCGGTGTTGTGAGTAGATATCTAGCTAATTCGGGAAAACAACATTGGGAAGCAGTCAAATGGATACTTTGATACCTGAAGGGTAGTTCGAAACTATGTTTATGCTACGGGGGAGCAAAGCCAATCGTGGAAGGTTATACAGATGCCGATATGGCAGGAGATCTTGATAGTAGGAAATCTACATCAAGTTACATTTTTTACTTTGGCAGGAGGAGCTATCTCGTGGCAATCCAAGTTACAGAAGTGTGTCGCACTGTCAACAACAGAAGCCGAGTATAATGCTGCCGTTGAAGCTGGGAAGGAGCTTATATGGATGAAATGGTTTCTTCAAGAATTAGGCTTTCCACAAGAAGAGTACATCATTCATTGCGATAGTCAGAGTGCTATGGACTTGAGTAAGAACTCGATGTACCATTCCCGCACAAAACATATTGATATACGTTATCACTGGCTTAGAGAAGCAATTGAGGGACGGGAATTGAAGTTGTTAAAGATCAACACCAACAACAATCATGCAGACATGCTAACAAAGGTGGTGACACAAGAGAAACACAAACTATGTGCTGACATAGTTGGGATGAGGATTGTTGGACGGAGACTGGAGGGGGAGATTTGTTGTGTTCCAGCCTCCAAAGCTACAGTAGCCATCTTTGTTGACAAAATGAGACCTAGGGTGGCAAAGTCTTCCAACCCTATGATGAACACAGTTAATGAAGGCAACTACAATGGTGGCTGCCAAGACTATAAATAGAGACTTCATTCTTCAGTTGTAAGCATCCCAAACACAGAGAAACAGATAATATAACACTTAGAGTGAGAGTGTTAGTGAGAGGGTTGGGTTTTTGTAATAGTTGAGTGTGAGAGTTGTTCCTCCTATTGTAATTCTATTTTAGTGTTTAATAGAAGAGTTTTCCAACCCCTAACAATTCTAAAACCCTTTCCATGAAGGATTTCATAGAAAAGGCTATAGCAAGAATACCCTCCTTTTTTATAGCCACTCTCCTCATCCCACCTCTGTACATCACCGCTGCATCCTCCGGCCATCTGCAACCATTGCCACCTGCTGCCACCATCACCATCTTCAGCCTCCGAAGCTCCATCATATCCACTTTCTTCCACATTTCCCACTCCCCCTCGTTCTAAGTTTGTTGTCACCCCCAGCTTGCCTTTGTCTCCCTGATCAAGAGCCACGTAATTAAAGCCAACCCCAATACCCCATACACAATATCTTTTCTTGTACGTTAAACCAGTATTTACACTAGTTTTTGAAAAGTACCCCACACTATACATGTACTTAATGCATCTTTTCTTGTATGCTTCCAGTATCATTCAAGAACTCAGCAAATAGCACAGGCATTTGGATTCTCTTCTACACTGTGAGTAGAGTAATACTGTGGCATGTAAGGATTGTAGCTCTTGTAAGCTTCCAAAAGAGCTTCTTCTTTCTTCTTCTGATCATCATCCTTATCTTCTTTCTTTCCATCCCTCTTCTCTTCTTTCTTTCCATCCCTCTTTTCTTCTTTGGCTGGTTCAACAGCCACTAATTCTGTGTGCCAAGATTTTCTAAGGATTGCGACAATCTGAACTGGATCAATGTCCCCGGTCACCGTTAATTTCTTGTCTTTCATGTCTGCAGATATGGAATCGATCCCTACAAATATTTCAAAACAAAGTTTAGTCAAACTTCTGCTACTCAAATGCAAATAGACTGAAAACATAACAAACAGGATGTCAACCTGAAAGTCTGGAAACTTTCTTGAGCGCCTTTATTTTTTCCTTATCATTCGTAAAATCCACTTTCAGAACCACTTTCAGAGACCTTTTCTGCAAATGAAAACAAAGTAATAAAAATTAACATAAATCTCGGTGTTAGTGAGTTAGTCTCTGTACCCTTACCACTATGTAAAAAAAAAATACTCATTGCACATAAGTACCAGGTCACTAAAAGACTTAGATATTATGTAGGACATTTCACTTCTAACCCAGTTTTAGTTTTGTAGGTGGCATCCATTTTGGGATTGGAGGTGCATTTTTGTTCCTTGGTTATTATAGTATTGCAACAGAATATGTTCTCCACCTTTTTGATGAAAAAAGGACGTTTGACAGTCTTGTTGAAAGTTAATCTAGACATATGGTTATTTTATGAAAGTTAATGGTAGTTAATTGGTTAGTTAATCTGGAAATCATAGGTTAGTTAATAGGGTAGTTAATAGTTGGTTATTTATGGAGTTGCAATGGTTGGTGAACAGTGGCGGAATCAGGAATTTTGATATGGGGGTACAAAAATTGTCAATATATTATATATCCAATATCGGGCATTAAAATATATATTATAATCTCTTTAGTTGGGGGTACAATAACATGAAACATGCTTACAAATAATATTTTTGTATATATATAAAACAATCTTTTGGGTGTACTGTAGTACGCACAACGTCCCATCTAGCTCCGCCACTGTTGGTGAATATTTGCAATGGTTAGATGGCTGTTCATATACGTGTATGCATCAATGTAAATTTATGGAGTTCCTGAAAAACAGATGTGTGTTCCTGTGCACACACATACTATAAATTCCTACAAGTTTTACTATGCTAACGTTAACTCCAACAAGTCTGCCAAACCAGGGAGAAACTCAAGTATTGAGGTATTCGGATATCATCCATGTTGCATGTACCAACAGTTGAAGATCCACTAGACAATTATGCCTCTTACTCAGTTTTTTGGTAGAAATTTAATATCTTGAATCCGGGTTATAGTTTCCTTGTCCAGATCAGAATCCATATATAATATATATATATATATATATATATATATATATAGAGAGAGAGAGAGAGAGAGAGAGTTCAACGCAGAGTGATAATGAGGCTGCACCTTGTGTATCTAGAAACCATTTTGCTTGTTTGCTAGCGACATCTGGTATTCTGTTTTCTATCAAACAATGGCATGGAGGACACGTACAAAATTGTTTCTCTAAAAACCATATGTTAGCATTATTTTCATAGCTGAAAGTGATGGGTAAATCGTTACCAGCTGTTGGATAGAATACGAAAAAAGGAGAAGTTTAATAAGCCTCATCAGATGTCTTTTGTGAACTATTTTGAATTTCAAGGAGAAAGGAGGACCATGTCTTCCCTAGTTAAGAATATTTTCATGCTATAACTTTGGTCCACCTACTCCATGAGTTGAGGAAAGAAAGTTAATTTCCAGTATAGGGAATGTTATGCTCCAGGTTATCTAGCTTAATGTCGGATTAGCTTTATATTGGGACCACTACAAGGATCGTACACTATGCAGACGACAATTTTGAGCTCTGTCCAGACGACTTGTCGTCGCGAAAGCCTATAGAGACGACTTGTCGTCGCGAAAGCCTATAGATTTAATGAATGTAGAGTTTATGGACATGTCTAAAGTATCTGTTCCTATTAAGATTCAGGTGTCTATTTCACTATCAAATCGGGATGAACAGAATCCGCTGCATACACATTATGCTAGTCGACTACATTATGCTAGTCGCTAGTCGACTAGCATAATGTGTATGCAGCGGATTCTGTTCATCCCGATTTGATAGTGAAATAGACACCTGAATCTTAATAGGAACAGATACTTTAGACATGTCCATAAACTCTACATTCATTAAATCTGAAGAGCAACGATAGCAAAAGTATGTTTTCAAGATACCGCATTGAGAACATTGAAGGTAAAAGGGGAAACATGTTGTGAAGTGGTAGCTGATGTTCTGACGTTTTCTGTAAAATACCAAATGTATCCGGCATACCATGTAAGCAAAATGAGTGGAGAAGTAAACATGAGGAAAAAACTTATCGATCCGGTAGGTCTTTCTTTTCGAAAAGTACTTGTAGTTTGAGAAGCAAATCTATTGAAAAGTAAACATTTATCGGTTTTCAATGCAGACTTTTTTGTAAAAAATATTATTGATTGCTTTCCTTTTTCCTTTCCTTCGTTCTGTATGAGGATCGATCATTTTAAAAGGATATTAAATTCGTTTAAATGATAATAGCTCATAAAGCTGTTGACCACAACATTTAAGGAATTGGATGGAATAACTAGGAAAAGGAAAATGTATAGTAGGTCAAACTCCATTAATGTCTTGTGTAGACAATTCAGAAGTATAAAACGAAAGCTAGATTCAAAGTGAAGTTCCATGATTATTTCGGAATAAGAATAAAAGAGTTGAAGCTTCCTAGGCTGTGTTTGTGATTTGAAGGAAAATTCCATATATGTTAGAAAAGAATAAGCTCCTCATTTTTATCTGCTAAGGATTATGCTGAATCACCTTTGCTTCAAATTTATTTCTTATAGCTGTGAGTTATTCAATTGTATTGTAATAAACTTGATGTAAATTTGTGCGTTGATGGGAACACAAGGAAAAGTTAAACTCTTAATTTTCTTTTGTCCGGTATACAAAATATTCAGTTACCTCTATTGTTGTATCGCTAGATTTGGATGATGTGGAAGATTTCATTGTCTTCCGAAACATGCTTGATGTGAACTCCAAAGTTTTATCTACAAAAGATGATTTCGGCATCTTTGCGATCTTGTAAACTTCCTCCTATTTTTTTCATGAACACCAAAACCTAATTAGCAAAACCCAGTTATTGTAGTAATGATGTTTTTTAGTACAAATGACCATATATTAAAAGACTAGCCAGAACCTAGCCAACGAAGATTACATCGGGGGAAAGTCGAAAAAGGACATGACATCCAAACATACCAGTCCACATTAAAGTTTTCACATCTACTAAAAATCCATCAAACACTTGAAGAACAATTCACACTAATTATAACCATATTAGCATCAAGTACCAAAAGGTTACACCAAATTATAATGGTTTGATAGATCTATTCACTTACATGAACTCATGAAATATCTGAAAAAGAAAATAGAAAATTAACCTGACTAGCAAACTTACAAGTATCATATGAATAAGGTAATTGAAACGGTTATTTGAGAAGCACGTCAATTGTACGCGCATATATATATATATATATATATATATATATATATATATATATATATATATATATATATATATATATATATATTAAATAGCAAATTTACCAATTGAGGACCATGGATGATGCATTGAACAATTTTCAACTCGGTAAATGATGGATTCAACTGCTTAGGTCTACCTGTCTTTCTCCATCCCCGTACCTCTGTAAAAATGTGCCATGAGATGAATTTTCTATATTTGCAACATATAGATCTAGGGTAAATAGCACAAAAGATATTAAGTTTACACCAAAATTCTAATTTGACACTGTGTTTTTTTTTTCTCAAATTTGACACTGTATTTTTCAATTTTTTACAATTCTGATCACTTGACTGGTCAACCCGATTATCTGTTGATGTGGCATGATGACGTGTTAGTTTTGATGACGTGGCATGTTAACGTGTCAAAATTGAATTTTTTTCCGACAAAAGACACTAATTTTTCACTTTTTTTCGATTTTGACACTGATTAATTTTTTTGTTTCAGTTTTAACACTCTTTTTTTTTTCAAAATCGGACATCGTTTTTTCCAATTTTGTTCAATGTTAACCATTTTTCATTTGAAACCGTATAAATATTTTTTTAATACATTTCAAACCATATAAATACATTTTTTTCATTTGAAAACCATATTTTGTATAAACACAAGCGTTTTTTTTTTTTTTTTTTTTTTTTTTTTTTTTTTTTTTTTATACTTTCAAACCATAATTTATGTATTAGTATGTATTAGTTATTTAAAACCGTATTTTATATTAAATACGCAACTTTAAAATGAGTTTGGAGGGCACAGAGGTTAGGTTTGCAAATCGTAAAATTTTTATATCTTATTCGAAGGTTATGGTTAGTTTGGTTCTCATGATATAACTAATACATACTTATACCTAAAATTATGGTTTAAATAAAAAAACCTTGTATTTATACAAAAATATGGTTTTTAAATGAAAAAATGTATTTATACGGTTTAAAATGTATTAAAAAAATATTTATACAGAATACGGTTTCAAATGGAAAATGGTCGACTGAACAAAATTGAAAAAAATGATGTTGGATTTGGAATAAAAAAGCAGTGTCAAAATTGAAAGAAAAAATTAAAATTAGTGTCAAAATCGAATAAAAGTGAAAACTTATTGTCTTTTGTAGGAAAAAATTCAACTTTGACACGTCATCATTTCATGTCAGCATGTGTCATCATCAAAACTGACATGTCATCATGCATGCCACGTCATGGTTGACCGGTCAAGTGGTCAGAATTGTAAAAAATTGAAAACACAGTGTCAAATTTGAGACAAAAGAAAACACAGTGTCAAATTAGAAATTTGGTGTAAACTTAGTGTCTTTTGTGCTATTTACTCATAGATCTAACTAAAATTGCCCAAAATTAGCTTTGATAAAAGGGACATACCAGTATTGTCAATGGTATCACCAACTAAAATTCTAAACCAATCAGTAGTCAGTTTACCAACCTCCATCAACTCATAGAAATCACGACGACAAAGATAGTATGCTCCTGTGCTGAGTTGAAATCCAAACAAATCTCCTCCAAGAATTTCTTCCCAGTCCATGTTATTTTTCAAGGTTTCCTTGGTTACATTTTCATCAGCATAAACAAGGCTCACACCACATTCCTGTACCTCCAATCCACTCATCACAACAATAGAAACATTAACTATATCTCCAATGTCCAATGTGTTTCCAATTGGCCAATAGCTTAACCATATTCCAACATTACCGAATTTAGGTTTTCCAAAGACTTTGGGGTTGTACATCAAATCAACACCATTGGTTGTACTGATTTTACAGAACCATGCCAAATAATCGTCACCTGATATTGTATATCTGAAAGTTACATCAAGTCCTTTGAGCTTCCTATTCATTGGACACGAAGGCACCTCAAAGGATAAAGACGATAGTTCCGATACATACTTGGGCTTCATGTTTGGATCCTTTATGTCTGGCAGAGATGTGCTCATTATACCAAATTCATATAAAACCTGGACACAGGGACTTCTGCCTTTGGTGAGCTCATCATCACCAACCAGGCAGACCTCACGATTTTGATATTCTTTTAGCCAGTTCATGTGTCCCAAATCATTTTCTTCAAGTTTGGCTATAGGAACCAATTTGATAAAGCCTTCGATTTGAGACAGACTAATACATCCTTCATAGCCAAACTCTTGCAATGTGAATCGATGCGATTGGAAACTTATTTTCTCTAATGACTTACAGTAGTATACATACAATTCTGCAAGTGTGCTTGGGAGACATAGAATCCATTTGAGTCTTAAGCACAAACTCAAGTCAAGAACCCGGAGACTTTTAAGATGTTCATAACAAGGCAGAAGCTCAAATAGACTATTGCCTAAATTCAAGTATTTCAATGATGTTTGAAAACGGAAATTCAAAGGAAAAAAATCAGTACACTCGAGATGGCAGTCCTTGAGGAATAACTGTTTTAATGATTGTGGGAAGGAAAAGGTAGGCTGTTCTGCAACTCCTCCACTAAAACTAGAAGCTACTAGCCTCACTAATGCATTTCTTTTCTGGCTCTTACAAACCTTTTTACAGCCTGTCATGTTCAGTAGTGCAAGACTAGCCAGTTGTCCAATGGAATCACAAACACGAACAAGACTGTGACAGTTCCAAAGAATCAAAGTCTCAAGATGAGGGATCCTGGACATGTTGCGGATTTCGACTAGGTTGTATGAGTCTTTAAGATTTAGAATCTTCAGTGATTGAAGAACCTGTTGCAAAAGTAACAAGATTTGTGTATCACTCCTTGTATGCATAAAGACCATTAACAACTAAGTAGCTAAATGGATAAGCCAAAAAAAAAATAGTATACCACATTCCCTACCATGGGCGGTTCAAATACTTCCAATTTGCTGTAACTCAAATCTAAAGCCACCAACTTTCCCATGGATAAGTCAGAGGGTATAGTTTTTAGATGAAAGCCAAACCAGCAGAGCCATCTTAAATCTTCTGAAACATTCTCGTAGGACCCGTCAAGATACACAAGATTAAAGTGGAGCAGTTTTAGTTTATCCATGTTTTTAAGTGCATCTGTCTTTAGTTTTAATGACTGCAAGTTTTGTATAAAGAGGGATAGTAAGGTTACATCATATCCAGAAATAAATTCACCAAAGATTCTATGTGTTGAGTACCAATCAGAAGTTCCATGTCCTGATGGTTGTGTAATAACTGGGGTTATATATATATATATATATATATATATATATATATATATATATATATATGTGTGTGTGTGTGTGTGTGTGTACACACACAAAACAACACAGAATGCAATATAGATAAGTAATCTAACAAATTAATTAGATCTAATCCAAAAAAAAAAACACATTTTAACTTGTTTAATATTACCTTGACTGGAAATTCCTCTTTCCTTAACATTTCCATGTCAAGTGCCAGACCTTCCACTGTTTCCGAACCCTATATAAATGAAAAAAAATGGTTAACTTTACAATTCAAATCAAATAGGAAAATGTGAAAACAAAAGTATTCTTGAACATATATATATATATATATATATATATATATATATATATATATATATATATATATATAAAAGAAGCATTTTACCTCTCCTTTGCTCATTATCTTATAAGAGTCGCTACTAAGCCAGACTCTACTACGTTTTGCAGGGAATTTTAATGCTTCTTGACGAACTATATCTTTTCCCATCTCCTGAAGCAAGTTATGCATCATCAGTTTATTCTTCGGTGAAACAGAAAGAAGGCATCTGTTGGAAAGGATTTTGATTCCAGAGATTGCAGAGCAATCATCCTCCAATATCTTTTCCACATAATCCTTGTCTTTTCCAACAAAGAAACAAGCAATATGCAAAAACAACTGTCTGTTAAAGTGATGTGGCAACAACTCGTAGCTCCTAAGGAGTATGCATTGAATTCCAAAAGCAATCTCTGTTTCAAATGACCTTAATGTACTTTTCCAATATTGGAGGCTATTCTCCTCTGCTAGCAAGCGACCCAACACTTCAAGAGCCAGTGGATTTCCTTCACAATGGTGTACTGCCTGTACTGACAGCTTCTTGAAACCTTCTGTAGGAAATTTGGATATGAAGGTATGACCACATAAAAGATCAAGTGATTCATCATCATTCAATAATTTCATTTCATATTTTCGACACCTCCAGGATCTGGACTCAAACCATTGGTCTGAAATTTGAACCCTTGATGTTATTATAATCTTACTTTGGGCATTAATCTTCCCAGTTCCAAGTAAAGCTTCAAGCTGAGCATATTCACAAATGTCATCAAGAATAATAAACGCTCTTTTTGTTTGTAAGGCCTCCTCAATCTTACATGTGACTGGAGAAACACTGGGTATTTTTCTATTCTTCCCCCCCTAAAATTTCATTCAGAAGTTGTTCTTGTAGCTGAAGCAAATCATCATGTCCTTTACATCTGCCACCAATCTCTTCAAGAAAACAAATGTTTTCAGAAGATTTCAAATTTCTATTGTAAATATACTTGGCCAATGTTCTCTTGCCACTTCCACCCATGCCACAAATTGTTATAAAGTTAACATTGGGTTCATTTATAATGGAACTGATATCCTTGTATCGAGAGGCCATCCCTGGTAGATTGTTTGGAAGATGAAATATTTTTTACAATCCAGTTTCTCATAAACGGTTTCAATAATTTTCTTCTGGCACTCTGCTTCAGGAGTGAAACTACACATGAAAAATAGACTAGTTCATGGGATCACATTTAAATATTCTTTGATATCGCTGAATGAAAATATTGAATGATAAATAATTTCCAAATATCAGGTACATACAAATATATGTTTAAATTTGATTACCATCAACGTTTTCCGAGAAAGATACAAAATTCATTGTAAAAATTGATCTAAGTGTTTAAAACGGTAGAGAAGGTCTCTTAAATTTAATTACAAGTGCATCTTAACTACAAATTTCAATCAAAATAAAACAAATATTGATAGATTTGTCGGAATTATGTACATCAAAGCCCTTTATAGTCTATTCCTAAGGGTTAAAACCATGGGGGCCGACAGTTCTGATTGTGGGGACAATATAATTGTTTCCTTGTGAAAAAAAGATGTTACAAATTATCATAACATAGTTGGGGACAATTTTATCGTGAAATAAAAGTTATACAAAAAGTTCACCGAAAGCATCTCCAATGGGAGATTATTCATGAATTATTACTATTTGTTCACCCACTCAATACCGTATACCGTTAGAGTGAATCCTGTATTCTTCCAATTTGATGTGCACTTTCAACGAATCTTTGCCAAATATCTCATACGTTACATCGGTGGATTACTCAGAGGTTTTCGGACATCGATTTCGCAGGCATGGACAAGGACGGGTGCTATGCGTTCATGAAAAGGTTCACTGGAGAAAAGTGTGAGAAGCTCTATTACTGCCAACCTGATATTGATTTTCCAAAAGGTTTGACCTTAATTAGCAATGAGCTGGATTATGCCGACTTTATAGCAATTTCTTATGAATGTGGTTTTATACTCCCTATGTATGTAGACCATTTTGGTAATAGTAACATACATGAATGGTTTGATGAACACAAAGACGAGGTTGTTGATAACATAGAGATGAAGAAGTGATTGATGGTGCATGACCAATTAAGGAAGTTGAGATAGGGCATGAGGATGAAGATGAGGTTGACGATGAGGATGGGGATGACTATGGGGCTGAGGATGAGGATACCGATGATGATGAGGATGACCATGACAACCCTCATTTTTCAAAAAGGATAATGGAAATGATTTCGACATGGGTGAGATTGCAGGTGTAGGTAAGCCTTTGGAAGAAGACACGGCTGGCAATGAAGATGCTTATCCTGAGTCGCCAAATATTTTCAATGAAAAGCTACACTGGAAGGAGCAGGAACCTGTGTTAGGTAGGAGGCTTGAGAGTCCTAAACAATTGTAACACATGCTCTGTAACTATGCTGTTACGAATGGTTATCAATTATGTTTTGTGAAAAATGATAGTAGACGGTTGCTAGCCAAATGTGGTGATGGAAAATATACATTTAAGGTTTGGGGTTCATGGATGAGTGATAATAAGTCTTTCCAAATCAAGTATCTTATTAGTGATCATAATTATGCAAATAATTTCAATTTCGGATCAATTGTCACTTATAAACGAATAAGTGCCCACTTTACTCAACAATTTTTTAATAATCAAAAGATGAGTGTCATATTGCTTAGAGAGGAGGTGAAAACCACTTTGGCATTGATGTGACTACAAGTCGGTGTAAGAGGAGCCAAGAAGTATGCATTGACTCTAGCTGAAGGCACAGTTGCAGAAAATTATGCCTGAATATGGTGATATTGTGAGGAGATTAAAAGATCAAATCCTGGATCCAAAGTTAAAATTTTTATGGATGCAATGCCTGATGGTAAGAATTAATTCAACAAGATTTACATATGCTTTGCTACAGTCAAAGAGGGGTGGAGGGGAGGTTGTAGAAGGATCATAAACCTAGATGGTTGTTTCCTGAAAAGCTTTTGGTTATAATCAAAGCTATTGGACTTCTCGAAGGTTGTTTGACTACTTCAAATCAAAGGTTAGAAAAAATCCTATGCACTTATTGTATGTTTTCATGAGTTTTTAGATTCTGTCCTTTTGGTAATTACACTCTCATTTTGGTAATTACACAACTCGAATTAGGTTCTTATCAGTTTGGTAATCAAAGATTGAACTTGGTTGCAATGGTTAGTGCTCATATCCATGGTGGTTGTTAGGTTCTTATCAGCTATACAACACAGTGTTGTCAACATAGTATAGTTAACATAGTGTTATCAGTTATTCAACCTCTTTGTCCATGAAATTTCTCAATTTCTCCCTGTAATGTTTTTGTACTCTCACTTCACTGCAGACTATTTATTAAGTTTTTAGACTTAGAATGACTTCTAAAGGAGCACGAAAAGATCCAGCCTAGGGACATAGTGAAAAGGTAAAAGTACCGGAAGAAGGTAGCAAAAAAGTTTACAAATACCTCAAGTGTAACTATTGTAGCAAGGTCATCAAAGAGGGGGGGGGGGGGGGGGGTAAAACAAATGAAGGTACATCTTGATGGATCAGGGAAAGATGATGTACCTAGTGTAAATGTGCCCGACATAGTAAATGAAGAAATGAAACAATATCTAAAAGCATATCAAGATCATAAATTCACTATTCAATGCATTTTTGAGGAAAATGTGGGTTGTGGATCATACCATATGAGTAATAGCACTAATAATATTGTTGCTTCAGGTGCAAATTCTTGTCCTAGTGTTAGCACCAGGGTGTTAGAGGCCCAATAGACCATTATGTGGAGATTCCACTTAATGATGACCAAGGGACATTAGCGGTTGAAAAGATGATGACACCAACGAAGGCTAAAGAACACCGCAATAGAGTTTGCTTGGGTATTGGGCGGTGCTTTTATGAGAACGGGATGCCATTTAATATCACATCGAGTCCGACATTTGTAAATATGGTGCGTTCAATTGGTAATTATGGTCATGACTTAAAACCTCCATCAACATACGAGTTGGGCACTTGGATTTTAAAAGAAGAAGTCAAGACAACCACTACATTTGTAGATGACATAAAAGCTACTTGAAGCAAATAGGAGTTTCTTTATTATCAGATGGCTAGTCCGATATTAGAAACAGAAGCCTCAACAACTTCCTTGTGAACAATCAATATGGTACTGTCTTTTTGAAAACTGTTGACGCGTCTGATTGCATAAAAATGCACAGAAGTTGTTCGGTGTTATTGAGGAAATCGGTGAAGATATTGTCATTCAAGTGATCACAGATAATGCAAACGCGTACAAAGCTGTCGGTACCTTGTTGATGGAGAAGCGAAAACATTTATATTGGACTCTGTGTGCTGCTCATTAAATAGATTTGATGTTAAAGAAAATTGGGGGTTGCCACAAAACAAAAATGATTTACTTAAGGCGAAAAGAGTAAGCAATTTTATTCATAGCCATCAGTGGGTTTTGAGTTTAACAAGAAAGATTGCAAAGAAAGATCTTCTTCGGCCGGTTGCTACCCGATTTGCCACTACATTTTTGACACGGGAAATCATGTACGAGTTGAACAACCATTACAACAGATGTTCGTTTTAACTGATTGGTCAAATTGTGCTTGGGCCAAGAAGCAGGATGGAATAGTTGTCAAGAAGATTGTCATGGACGAAGTTTATTTTTGGGCTAGTGTGGTTTATTCAATGAAAACCACAAAGCCTCTAGTTCATGTTTTGAGACTTGTTGATGGTGAAAAAGAACCAGCAATGGTTTATATTTATTGTGCTATGGACAAATGAAAGGAAAAGATTGCCAAAAATTTTGATGGGGATGTGGCTTCTTACATATGGGACATTATTGATGAAAAATGGGAGAATCAAATGCACCGTGACTTGCATGCAGCGATTTATTTCTTGAATCCACGCTATAGGTGGAGTCCTGATGTTTCCGACATCCCGAGATAAAAATGGGTTTATATAGGTGCATGGAAAGACTCTTGGATCAAGAGACTAATGAAAAAGTTGATTCACAGCTTGATGACTTTAAGTACAAGAGAGGGTTGTTTGGATATAATGCGGAGTTGATATCATACATCAAACGGCCTCACAGTATATACTAGAACTATAATTATATATACATTTTTCCATTATTATTAAATAATATACTATTTTGAATTTGGTTTTTCGTTTATTTATGTAGTTGAATGGTGGGATAACTTTGGAGAAAATGTGCCCGAACTCATGATTTTTGCAACAAAAATATTAGATCTAACTTTTTCCGCTTCAGCTTGCGAAAGGGATTGGCGTACATTTAATCAAGTACACACAAAACGAAGGAACCGGTTGACGACGAGTTAAATGAATAGCTTGGTGTACATTATGTATAACAAGAAGTTGAAGCGAAAATTTGCCTCAAAGAAGAAGTTAGGAGAGGGTGATAATCCCTTACTTGTTGAGGAAGTGCCTTCTGATGATAAATTGTTAGCCGACCCAAGTGACGAAGACGATAAGAATGGTGGAGAAGTTGGAACTGGTGAAGAAGTTGCAACAGAAGTTGGAACAGTTCAAAAAGGAGGAAGGGTGTTGAACTAAACCTGGTGGATGAAGACGATGAGCTCGAAGGTCACATGGAAGATGATGATGACCTTCGTTTTTGTTGGTTTGGCTTGATTTGAAGACTACTATGCGTTCGTTTTTATTAATTTGGCATGATTTGAAGACTATTATGAATTTATAGTCTTTTTATTTTTGGCATGATGACATTAAGTAAAACTTTTATGTTTGAAATTAGACTCTAGTATGTTTTTTTATGATTAATATAATATATTATTATTATTATTTTCTTCCTCCTCAAGGCTTACGCCTCGTGAGGTTAGGAGTAAACGTCTCGAGGCCCGATTTCGTATTTTAAAACCTTGTCGAGCATGATGAAAATGAAAATACTTTGCTACTAAATGCTTTTGAAACTTACCGTGTAGAAACTAGCATTCCAACTTGTTAAGTTTTGGCAAGTGTGAGGCAGTGCCCCAAACGGTGTCAAATTTAAGCTCGTTATCTTCTAATTTCTAGTGGGATGTGTGTTTAAATTTCCAGTGGTCTTGTGTGTTAGTTTAAGTTCAAGTGTGATGTTTTTAATTTCAAGCGTATAATTTCCTTTTAAGTTAATGAAATTTAAGTTTTTATTAAAATAATTAGTTTATATTGATTCTTTTATACAAATTAAATATTAAAAAAATAACATGGCAAGTGTGGCAACCCACGCCATGTAAATAGAAAAAATTTGAAGTAGTGTGGCAAATCCTAGGTGGTGCCTACATGGACCATGGCAAACTTGACATCACTCACTCCCGCTTAAGAGCATTCACAATGGTATAGACCTCATAGATGTTGGCACGTAATCACATAAACTCTTTTTTATGTAGACTAGATGTATCCTCAATATTGATACACCCTTTTAAGACTACCCGATACCAGCCCGTGGAGGGACGTTTTTGCCTATGTGGAGGCACCTTAACGCTGTGGTAACAACTGAAACACGACCCTAGCCTCTAGTTATGAGATGTGGCGTTACGAAATGTGGTAACGAGCACGAGAGGCAACACTCAATCAAATCATTTCTTTCTCTTTTTTTTCTCTCTCTCTCTTCTCTTAACATCATGTTATAACATCACCTCCACTTCATGTTATAACATATTAAAATGCGAGGTGACAATATTTGACTTCATAACCCTGTTGCCAACACCTAATACTTTAAACATTTTAAAGATTTATAAATAGGTTTTACTTGACTCAATGGTTTATTCAAACTATATTTAAATTTAATTCATTTGGTTTTTATATATAAAAAAAATTATGGAAAGAAAATCAAAATTAACACCCATAAAATGAACGTATTTAAAACTAAATAGTAAAATCTATTACAAATTAATAAAATGAATCAATAATCACCAAGTCTAATTCTGAATCAACTGCAAATATATTTTGAACAAGTACTCTTCTCTGTTTTGACAAGATTTGAGGAACCCTAATATCGTATTAAAACATAAGTGGAAACATTTTAATTTTTTGTGATAATATTAAAAATAAAACAAATATCAATAATATCTAATACCTATATTTTCTATTATTTTTCTTATTTCATATTTATTGTAATAAAAAAAAAAGTTAGCCATCACATATACATAACAGCAAACCCAATAATCCCACTGACGTGAGGTAGGCGGCGAGTTGGATATGGACAGCCATGTGTCCACTGTTTGGAGGAGCGGCTGTATCACATCAAATTCATTCATTTTTTTATCCAATTACTTTTTTAGCTACTTTTCCAATCTTCCTTCTAAAACAAAGATATCTTTAACATTTCATAGGATAAATTCACTAACGCATGTTTCAACATAAATTCACATATATCAACACAAATTCACCGAGCCGTGATTTTGAAGTGGAGAACATACTTAGCTAGATGTTAACACATATAATCGTCAAATTATGAATCAAAGTAGCATCAATTAAAACATATTGAAGTATGACAAATTACAAGCTAAGGGACAAAAAGGCATACCTGGACAGAACCTCGCCGGCCAAACCAGCAACCTCCGTCAGAGCTTCCTTCCAAAGGTTCACGTTCTGATCTGTCCACCTTGAAAAGGCTTTGACTTCGATTGCAAAAGTTTTATGTTGTTTCCCGACATCAGAAGGATCAACCTTATAAAAGACTGGTAGAACGAAATGATCGCCCTCCCTCCTTTGTTGGAGAATCAAATAAAGCTCGTCCAGGCACCAAGTGGAAGTTGCATAGTTCTCTGACAATACAACTATTGAAGCCCTGGATCCTTTAATTGCGTTCTCAATCTCCGGCTTCACTTTTTCACCTCTTTCAATTTCTTCTTCATCCCTAAAAGTAAGGATTCCTGCTGTCCTTAATCTTTCGTAAAGATGATCTGTAAAATTATGACGAGTATCTTCGCCTCTAAAGCTTAGAAAAACATCATAGCTGCTAGCATTAGCACCCGGAGAAGCCATAATACTAGAGGAAGAACTGGAAGCCATTGAAATTGAATGTGTGAGGATGGAATATGAGGTTTTGGTATCTGTATATGATACCAAAAACAATCAATTGGGTGTGGTTATAGTCAATGGAAAATTTTTAATTATGCAAAATAATACCCCACAAAACATTAATACTTTTCATTTTTGTCAGCTTTAGTAGTGACTTTTCTAATCAATGAAATGTCATATTTTCTGTCATATTTTCTGTTACATCAACAAACAACTTTATAATTTAAGTAATTAACAATTTTCTTCATTGTACATTATTACTTTGTATGGATCAGGTACAAAAGTTTTATTTCTCCCTTTGTCAACCTTTTAGTCCAATACATTAAGTTGATCATTTTGCCTTGGACCGAATTTTCTTCTCCTTCATTTGTGAACCTTGAAAACTCTATAAGCTATAACCCTAATAATCAAAACCTTCTATTTGATTGCCTGGTTTGAGGATATTAATATAGTGGTGTCCTGTCAACTAGCTAATAAAAGTCAACAAATTATATGGCTTATGACGTGAAATTAAATATCGAGAAAATGATTTGTAAGACAAACAAAGTTTCGAAATCGTTTAAAAAACCTCAATCATGTTTTGTCTGTTCGAAAAAGCCTAACGAACTTAACATTTTGTCTAAAAAACCCAACGAACTTACGCTTTTGTTCAATTCTCATTAGAGACAACCAGATTCATTAGGTATGCAATTAGTTTGCAAATGACATGGAATTATATTTAATGACATGGAATAAACAGATTAGAATCGCCCTTTATATATCGATTTAAATCTTGGAGAGGAAAAATGCAAACCCTTGTAGATGTGGACACTCTTTCAGATTTGGACTTCTAGAACATAGGATCATCCGGAGAAAAAGTTCAGGGCTTGTTCTAACAGATCGAACAGATGGGTAAGTGTAATTGAAAGCTTTATCATGTCTATCTTCTATCTATTTGTTTGGTTATTTCAAAAACAAGAACTTATTAAGATAATGGTTATCTAAACAATTATGAATCAAGCAAACACAGTCGTAATGGTCATCTAAACTATGTAAACTCAACAATAAGTCATAAAGACAAAAAAAATCTAACACATAAGGATCTTTCATTAAAAAAACATGATAAATTAAACAACTATTAACATCCAAATCATAGAAATCAACTCATAAAATTAACATAATCAACCAAATAAATAGAAGATGGACATGATAAATCTTCACATAGTTCAGGGCTTGTTCAAACAAACAGATGGGTAAGTGTAGTTCAAATAGATAGAAGATGGACAGGCTTTCAGTTACACTTACCCATCTCTTCGAGCAAGCCCAAAACTTTTTCACTTTTTTTACTGGACAATCCTCCGTTCTAGATGTCTAAATCCGATAAAGGCGTCCACATCCACAACGGTTTGCATCATCAAAGATCTTATTTATAGATATTGAGAAGGACATCAACGAATAAGAGGAATAAGAAGAAGTAGCCATTACAAGTGATCGAACAAAGATGTCGTTCGTTTTTCTCTTCTCCAAGCCCTAAATCGATACATAAAGGGCAATTCTAATTTGTTTATCCCATGTCATTAAATATAATGACATGTCATTTGCAAACTAACTGTATACCTAATGAATCTGGTTGCCTCTAAGAAGAATTGAACAAAAGCGTTAGTTCGTTGGGTTTTTTTAGACAAAATGTTAAGTCTGTTGGGTTTTTTTGAACAGACAAACATGATTGGGGGTTTTTTGAACGGTTTCGACACTTTGTTGGTCTTAGAAGTCATTTTCCCGATATTTAATTCCATGTCATCGGTCATGTCATTCGTTAACTTTCATTAGCGGGTTGACTCTATTGAGAATTGGACAAAAGTGTAAGTTACTTGGCCTTTTTTAGACAAAATGTTAAGTTCGTTGGCTTTTCTTGAACATAAAAAACATAGTTGAGGTGTTTTGAACGGTTTGGAAACTTCGTTGGGCTTATAAGTGATTTTTCCTTCCAAAAAAAAACTTTTCTACATCTCTAAATCAATAGATGCAGCAACAAAGAAGAAAATAGGAGCAGCAAAAAAAAGACAGACATTTTCACAAACAGGTGATGAGCATCAAGATAACAGGAACAGAATAATGGACAGAATAAGAATTGGTACCGTAGAATCGGGCACCGTCCGTGAGCCAAATGGGCAGATGAGTCAATGCAAACATAGAGCTAAAATTAAGTATGGGAAAATGACTTCTAATCCCAATGAAAATTTCAAACCGTTCAAAAAACATCAATTATGTTTTGTCTATTCAAGAAAACTTAACGAACTTAACCTTTTATCTTAAAAATCCCAACTAACTTACCTTTTTGTTCAATTCTCATTAGGGTCAACCGACTAATGAAAGTCAACGAATGACATGGCTTATGACGTGAAATTAAATATCAGGAAAATGAATTATAATACCAATGGAGTTTCGAAACCATTCAAAAACCCCAATCATGTTTTGTATGTTCAAAAAAATCTAACGAACTTATGCTTTTGTTCAATTCTCATTAGAGGCAACCAGATTCATCAGGTATACAATTAGTTGGCAAATGATATGGTATTATATTTAATGACATGGAATAAACATATTAAAATTTCCCTTTTTATATCGATTTAGGGTTTGGGAAAGAGAAAAACGAACGGCGTCTGTGTTCGATCTTTTGTAATGACTACTTCTTCTTCCTCCTCTCGATCGTTGATGTCCAACTCAAGATCTAGAAAGAAGGTATTTGATGATGCAAACCCTTGTGGATGTTGACGTACTTCTCAGATTTTGACATTTAGAATGGGGAAGTGTAATTGAATGCTTTATCATGTCCATCTTCTATCTATTTGTTTTGGTTCCTAAATAGATATATAAAGGACAATTTTAATTTGTTTATTTTATGTCATTAAATATAATGTCATTTCATTTCCTAACTAATTGTATACCTAATGAATCCGGTTGCCTCTAATGAGAACTAAACAAACGCGTAAGTTCGTTGGGTTTTTTTTAGACAAAATGTTAAGTTCGTTGAGTTTTTTTGAACAGACAAAACATGATTGAGTTTTTTTTAACGGTTTTGAAAATCCGTTGGTCTTACAAGTCATTTTCCCGATATTTAATTTCTTTTCGTAAGATATGTCATTTGTTGACTTTCACTAGTCGGTTGATTCTAATGAGAATTGAACAAAAATGTAAGTTAGTTGAGCTTTTTTAGACAAAATGTTAACTTCGTTGGGTTTTCTACAACACATAAAACATAATTGGGGTTTTGTTGAACGGTTTGAAATCTTCGTTGGGCTTATAAGCCATTTTCCCAATTAAGTATCCCAACCAACGCCTGCTACGGAATGCTTACTCCTCTTACTGCCCCTCTTTCTTTGAAGCTATCATGCATTCTGGTCTCATTGTCTCGCTTGTTTCCTCTAGAATGCCATACTCCTGACCCCTCAATATAAATTGTTTTGCACACAAATATGGTTCATTGGATGCTCAATTAACTGGTTTTTCCAAATACACATAATAATTAACAACAAAAGAGAAAAGGGATGTATATCCATCGACAACTATTACATCCGATAGCTACAAGCTCAGTGTAGAACAACCCCGAACAACCCCATAAAAGTTGTCAACAAACACATGTACATGGCAAAGGGTCAACCCCATTGTTATTTAATTAATATCAACCATTTTATATTTTATGTTTTGTACAATTAACATTTAATTATTTAACATGGTGCTAAAAAAAACTTTGTAATCAAAATCAGACATACTTTATTACCTTTGTATTTTCGTTTTAATATCTATTTTATTTTCTTATTATTTATATAAATTATAGATAACATTTTTACTATTATTTAAATTAACATTTTATATGATTTTTAGAAAATTAAAATTACAACAGTGGCCTCCTATCTAACTTTGTATATCATAAATTATCTTTTATTTTTATTTAAATTGTTTCAACACACACACTCTCTCTCTTTATATATATATATATATATATATATATATATATATATATATATATATATATATATATATATATATATATATATATATATATATATATATCATAACGAAAAATCGATTATGTATGATTTAACAGAAAAGTTTTTTTTGTTAGATTAACAAGAAAAGAGTGTTGAATCTTGTTTTTGATTTCTTTTTTCTTTTTTCTTTTTATTTTTTGTTTTAGACATTTTGTTTGTTTTCAAGTTAGCATATGTATAACTTAACATCCCGTTTTGGATTTCGTTAACAAATATTTATCAAATAACTTACGAACTATGGTTACAGTAGCTATGAAGTATTTAACAAATATATTTAAAAAGAAGTTGTAAAAAATCTTGAAAAACAGGTAAAATGAATGATTTAATCGAAAAATTAAAAGAATAAAAAATATAAACAAGAAAAATAAGATAGAGTAATTGAAATTTGAATAACAATCTATTTCTTTTTAAAATGTATATTATTGTTTAACAACTTACTACAATATATAAATTTTGAACTTTTTAAAATAACAATTGTAACGTCCTGAACACAATAATAAAAATTTTCTTTTAAAAGTTTATCAAACCATTCATTAATTGTTCAAAATCAACACCAAGTGATAATATTCAAAACATCATAATACAAATATATCAAATGCGAAAATCATGAGGGGATTATGATGTGTCATCATGCCGGACCATTCCATTTCGAACCAGAAGCACCTGAAACCATAAACATAAACTGTAATCATAAAGCTTAGTGAGTTCCCCAAAATACCACATACCTTAACATACAAGTGTCATGGGCTACCCCCATGGTCTTTCCTTGCAATGCTGAGGGCCAAATCCTGGTCTTACATACAAGTGTCATGGGCTACCCCCATAGTCTTTCCTTGCAATGCCGAGGACCAAATCCCGGTCTTACATACAAGTTTCATGGGCTACCCTATGGTCTTTCCTTGCAATGCCGAGGGCCAAATACTACTCTTACCTACAAGTGTCAGGGGCCAAATCCTGGTC